TCTTCATAGACTTATAGCAATTTAACTTACATTTTTTTTAGACTTGTCAATCGAGCGTTGCGAACAACGCAAAACGACTTTGTGTCGCTTTTTTATGTCTTGCTTAATATGCCTTTGCCTTTCGTTTGCTATTTTACCGTGTGATTTTACATATATTCTAAATCAAGGTTGACAATATGCCTATCGTCGTTAGGTTGCCAACTTGCTCATATTTTTTTTCTTCTCTTTTATCTTTGATTCACGATATATATATATATATATATGTTTATAATCGTTGAACTTATATGCGAGACGATTACTAGTGCATGAAAAAACGGAGCAGGTAACAACCTTGCTTGATGTTGACGTTATCGTCGTTTGTATGTAATCTTTTTTTTTCTTTCCCCCCCTTCTCCCTCTCTCTCTCTCTTTATATACATTTCTGTCATAAATACATATACAGAAGCAATCTAGACAGAAGCCTATCGAGCAAGTAATGCCTTTATATGTACAGGTGTATGCATCTGTGGACCAATTGATCAATTATAAAAAGAAATAAATCATAGAAATTACACATTAGTTGATAATAACATCTTAACTGATCACATCTTGATACAAAATTAGCTGTTACATATATATATATATATATATGTATATATAACAATGATTTTTAATAAGAAAAGTCTGAACATGATGCAAATATATATATATACAATTGTAGTTCTATGACATTCTTATAATGAATGATAATATAAAACAAACATTATTAACCCCTCGATGTAAAATTGATTTGTAATTAAGAATATACTTGAAAGCATGAAGGATGTCTCGTCTAACAAACTTATCATGACTAATGTGACATATTAAAAATTCAATCGTATCATATAAAAGGAAAAGACGAATATTTATATATTTATCTTTGTTAGATTTGGCCATAGATATTATAGCCTTTCTATTTAAATAAAAGACAAAAGAATAATACAATGAAAAAAAAAATTGATATTTAACAGTTGATTTTTGTGTTTTATACTTCTTTGATAAAGTGTTACACATAAACAATAATATTCTTGATTACTCATTTTGTTTTAAAGATTATTTTTTATCATTTCAAAAATGTTTCTTAATGAAATGTTTTCTTTTTAATGATCATCATCCTCCAATATTAAATTCATTGACAAATACATATGTAAATAAGAAGACGACGAATGTTTGTAGTAGTAGACATTTAACAGACACACACGCACACACACACACACACACACACAGATGAGAGCAAACACAACAAGTACATATTGAGAAGAAAAAAAAAAATTAAATGTGTGTCTATTTGTAAAATAGAAATAAACATAATGCAGATCGATTTCTACTACCAGTCTAGTCGTGTATATATATATATATACAAAAGATGGAGAAAGAGAGCGAGAGAGAGAAAGAGACAGTGAAAAGGATTTTTTGACAAAAACAGAACATACAGTCACTATCAACAAACAACATTTAGGAAAAAAAAGAGATGATTAGACATGCGCACACATACATCATACACACAAGCAGAAAAGAATTCAATATGTGACTTCATAGAGTGTGGCTTTTTTGTCACCTGAGCCTGTTAAAATATATCGATCATCAGCTGATATGTCACAACAAAGTACACTTGATGATTCTTTTGATTGAAATAAAAGAAGGCCAGTTGGTGTTCGACAACAATGAATATAATTATCTTTACCAGCCGATATAAACCATTTACCTTGATGAGCAAATTTAAGTGCTAAAACACAACTTTCATGTAAACTTAATGTATATTTATCATGAGATTTTTTCATTGATGGACTAGATGAATTACTCGTTGCTGATGATATATTAATTAATTCAACTGTTGAAGATTCCATTCCAACAGCAAGCCATTCACCTGTTGGACAATAACCCAATGTAAAGATTTGTGAATCAAATTCATATGTTTGTAATGGAGCATAATCATTGCGAAGATCCCAACAACGTACTGTATTATCTAAACCACCAGTCCACATTGTACGACCATCTGGAGCAATATCAATACATGATGTACCATCAGCTAAAAAGAATAAAAAAAATAAATTTAATTTTAAGCAAAAAAAAAACAATCTATCTTACTATGTCCAACAAATGATTTAACTAATGATTGATTATGAATATCATAAATAGCAATTGAACCATCTGAACAGCAGCAATAACAAAGTTTAGAATCTTGTGGACCAAGTGCAAGTGCATAACAAGCTGGTGCATTTAATTTCAGTTCACCTTTAATTCTTGGTGATGTTGATGATGGTGGATGATTTGATGGTGCAGGTGATGATGCATTAGAATTTGGTGTTGATGAACGTGTATTACTTGCGGAACCACCTGTAACTGCTGATAAATCGCATATTGAAATAATATTTGCTTCACCACCAACAATAAGTGTTCGATCATCAGAAAGTAATTTACAAAAACGTATATAACTATCATCATTAAGACATTTAAAATATGATAGTGGAGTTCGTATTGTACCCGTTTGTTTAAGATCCCAAACTTTTACACAACCTTTTCCACCCTATAAAATATTAAAATAAAATAGAATATAAAAATTTTGTCTTTTTATCATTATTATATATAACTTACAGTATAAATACGTTTTGATGCTTCACTGATCGTAACTGCACAAACAACTTCTCCATGCATTAAAGTTGCAAGTTCACGAGCTGATGTTGGTATATTAGAACCAGTTAATGCTTCAGGTGTCATATTCACTGGTGTTGTTACTGGATTTCCTTGTGAATCACTTGTAGTAAAATATGAATATGCTTGATTCATTAATTGATGATGATGATTATTTGCCCCATGTTGTTGTTGTTGCTGCTGTTGTTGTTGTTGTTGCTGTTGTTGTTGCTGCTGCTGTTGTTGTTGTTGATGTTGTTGTTGCTGTTGTTGATGGTGTTGTTGTCGTTGTGCGGCAGCAATTGCTGATGCTTGAGCTTGAGCAGCTGCTTGTGCTTGTGCCATTTGTTGAGCATGTTGATGTTGAGCTGCCATAGCCATTGCTTGAGCAACTTCTGCTGGCGCAAATGGATGACCAAATGGATTAAATGGATTTAATGCATTGGCATGCTGTGGACCAAGTGCACCAAAAGCAGCTGCAGCTGCTAATGCTTCAGGAGAAGAAAATGGACCTGTATTGAAACTAAATCAAGCAAAGAAAAAAAAATGAAAGATTTTAATAAATATTTAATTTAAAATTTTTTTATTATACCCAAATGCAGCCGACGGCGGTAAACGTCCACCACCAAATCCTGGTGGTAAACCTAATGGTCCACCAGGTTGCATTTGAGGTGTACCCATATTTGATGAACCACCTGTAATTGGTGTTAAAGCTTTATTTGGTTGTGGAGTATTTCGTTCTTTTTTAATAGCTGATGATGAACTTCCACGTTGTGAACCATCTTTATCGGACATAGGACTTCGGTCACGTCGACTTCTTGATGAATTTCCACCACCATTAGATGCTGATACAGGCGGTGTATGTGTCATAGTTTCATTTCCAGTTCCACTTCCTGAACCAGTTAGATTATCAGCAATTTCTGATTTAATACCATTAGGTAAAAGAAGACCACTACCTAAATTATTACTGCCATTTGTATGTTTTTGATTTCCACCAACACTTGTATCAATAACTAAATCAGATTCACTACGTTCACCATCACTTTCAGCTGTTGATTGTTTGGGTGGTTTTGATATACTACTACTTGTACTTGGTGGTCGATGTTTAGATGATTTACCATTTGTTGATGATCGACTACTACTACTATGTTTAGTACCTAATAAATCATTATTATTTGCTCGTGGTGATGAAGCACTTTCTTTTGATCCCATTGAACCGCCACCTTCTTCTTTAATTCCTGGTGCATATTGTGAAGCTAAACTGCTTAATACTGATGTATAATTTAACATTCCTGGTGGAAGACCAGCAACAGCACCTGGAAGACCTGGTGGACCGGGTAATTGAAGATGAGGTGCTGAACCAAGACCAGGTATACCACCAGGTATAGGTGGCATACCGGCGCCTGGTGCTGAAGCATTTGAAGCCGAGGCAAGCGCAAGAGCTGTTGCTTGTGCATGAAATTGTTGTTGAATGACACTTCAATAAAAAAAAGAAAAAGACGAAAAGAAAAAAACTGTACAAAATTAAATTATTTTCTATTTACCTATTAAGATCATTCATTGTTACTTGTTTAGCACGTTCAAGTGCAGGTAATGCATGTGATTGTTGTTCAGGTGTTAAATAAGGAATGATTTGATGAAGTAATGCTATTAAACGTTTAGTTATTTCTGTTTGTTTATGCATTTCATATGATAAACGATATGCCATTTCATAATAAAGACAATATTGTCTTTGTACTTCATTTTTTTCTGCATTTAATTTTTCACATTCAATACGTAGTTGTGCACGTTCACCTTGCATATGATTAAATTCTTTTTCTAATCGATCACATACATCATTAACACTAAAGTCATAACTACCACCAGTGGTAGAACGATTATTACTATTACTGTTATTAAACATTTTCTATTTAATAAGAATAGAAAGAAAAAATGCAATAAATATAAAAATAAAAAAAATATTCAAATATGTGTTTATACTTTTTAGATCATAATTATTTTGTTCTATTTTAATATATATTAATAATATACAAATATCGATTTGATCTAGAATAACAGATAAGAAGACAAAAGAAAAGAATCATTCATTCATTAATCAATATATAATGCGTCCGTCCGTATCGGGCGAACCGAGCAATCGTATAGCAGCTGACAGTGGCCATATTTATTGATTGATCGATGTCTGACAGAGGAGGATAACAGAATTCTAAACAATACAAAATGCATAAATGACTTTTATTCGAAACATATCATTGGTTCATTTAAATTACCATTCAAAAACAAGTTAAAGAAAATATAAATGATTTTTTGTTTCATTCAAAATTCAATTTGCAGATAATTATGAAAATTTAATAAGAAAAAAATCAAGGGGAATGATTAAATCTATAAAATCATCTAGTTGGAATTTTGGTAAATTACCACGTGTAAGAGCTGAACATTTATTAACCAATGAATCTATTGGAACATTTCTTATACGTGAAAGTGAACATTATCCAGGAGATTTAACATTATCAATTAAAGATGAAAATCGAATTCAACATTATAGAATTAAATTTGATTTAATTAGTCGAAGTTATACTATTGATGATGAAAGTTTTTTTTCTGATCTTCATTCACTTGTTCAGGTTTAATTAATTTTTTTTAGAATTTATTTTTCATCTAAAAAATTTCATTTTTAGCATTATGAAATTGATGCTGATGGATTATGTTGTCGTCTAGAAAAAGTATTAAATGATAAACATGATACGATTGATTCAATTAAAATACAAAAATCTATATCACCTGTAGTAATTGTTCCATCTCAAATATCAACAACTATAGATTATAGAGAACTACAAATTGGAAAACTTGTTGGATCAGGAGAATTTGCAGGTATATAAAACAATTCTTTTTGTTGATCTATCAAAGATTTTCTTTTCTTCTTTATAGAAGTATACGAAGGTATATATAGAAAATCTCGTGTAGCAATTAAAGTATTGAAAGAGACGAATTCTACAGAATTGTTTCTTCATGAAGCTGATATTATGAGGTTTGTAAATAGAAAAAATAGAATCCTATTAATTAAATAACATAACTTTAGTTCTTTAAAACATCGAAATCTTGTTCAACTTTTGGGTATTGCACAAAAGTCAGATAATGTTTTTTATTTAATTACTGAATTTATGACCAAAGGTTCACTTCTTCATTATTTAACTACACGTGGTAGAACAATTATTTCTCAAAAAGATTTACTTGGTTTTTCAATGTAAGTCATTCTTTTTATAACAAAGTAATTTCAATTACTTGTCAATAAGATTTTACGTATACTATTTGAAATACATTAATTCAATTCTCTTCTAAAAATTTCATCTATCGTATGAGGGAAGCCTTTGATGTTATAAAGAAGTGTTCGCGATAAAAATACATATTATCTTTTAAGATGTCTATATGGTATAGGATAATAAATTTTATCTTTAACGATTATTATACTGTAGATATACTAACATTGAATTAGTTATATGAAACCCTGGACACTCAGGTGTTGTTTTTCATCGAAAATTATGAATTGAAATATATAGAACAGATGAAAATCTTATTTGTGATTGACTCAAAATAATGATACAATTCCCAAATAGTTTCAATTTTCTGTATATTGTCTAGATATAACTCTTATCGTTGTATTTGATTACTTCAAGATTGTCATATTATTGATATTTCAATTAGATTGAAAAGAACAGATAAGATCTCTGTTCTTCTCTATCTATATAATTTACTCTATAGAAATAATCTATCATATAGATATTCTTTTTGACAAGTAGCTATTATTGAAATACTATTATAACTTGCAAAAACTTCACAATCATATGATGATTACAACTGTAATAATTGCCATTCCCTATGACAAAATTGAATGATCAAAATAACAGTTTAATACTGATGATTGTATTTTTTTCAATGAAAATTTATTTTTATATGTATTTAGTGATACATGTGAAGGCTTAGCTTATTTGGAACAAAATCATATTGTTCATCGAGATATAGCAGCAAGCAATGTATTAATTGCTGATGATAATACAGCGAAAATCTCAGATTTTGGTTTAGCTAAATCTATTGAAATAACCGAAAAAGAAAATGGAGATAGTATTATTACAGATAAAATCAAATGTCGTACAAAATGGACTGCACCTGAAGCACTTGAATCAAAAGTAATTTGAATTATAATTAAAAAAAAGGAAAACACAATAGCAAGCGAATTTTGATTTCTTTCTTTCTATAGAAATATACAAATAAAAGTGATATGTGGTCTTATGGTATTCTTCTCTGGGAAATATTTTCTTATGGACGATGTCCATATCCTCGTATAGTAAAAGAAATAAATTTTTTAGAAAACTTTTTTTCATAGTTTAATTATTTATTTAGCCTGCTGATGAAGTATTAATAAATTTAAAAGAAGGTTATCGAATGGAACCACCAGATGGTTGTCCAATAGAAATAGGTGATATTATGCGTCAAGCATGGCATGTGAATCCTGAACGACGAGCATCATTTAATCAAATACTTGAACGACTTAAACGTATAAACATATCTTGTTAATTTTCAATATTTATTTTTGACAATATCTATTTAATTCATTATTCATCCGTCTATCTCAATATGTATATAAGTTTATTATTGTGATTTAAATTGATCGACAAATTTTTTATGTGCTTTATTTAATTTCATTTCCAGAATGATAATACAGTATATATTAATATATATATATCTATATAAAATATTAATCTTCGCTTTATTTTTCCTGTACATCTATAACATTTAATAAAAGCTAAATCTCTGTTTTTCTTCTTTCATTCCTACATGTATCTTTATTTCCATATTTTGATATGTATGTGAAGCAAAATAATCAAACTAAAATTCTTTTTTTCTTTTCCCATTGTTGTTGTTCTTTTATTACTAACATGACAATAAACTATGCAATTTATAATAGAATAAATATAATCTAATATAGACTCATATAAGTTCTATATGTGATATCGGGTAGATAAATAATGATCAATAACGAATGAAAACATTTTTCATCAGAGTATTTGTATTAAACTAATACAGTTTGAGTTGTATGCATACATGATGAACTTTATATTATAACCGATCTAATGTCATTTCGAAAAAGAATTTTCATCAAGTTAGTATTTCTTAGCATAAGTTGTCATTATATAAATTCAAAAATAGCATCTATTGATATTTCTTTGATACGTAAAAATTTTAAATATTCTTACAACATAAAAAGGTGCAACCGTTTTGCTACAATTGCGAATATGTTAACACCCTTCATAAACTTATTTTGGTATCGTATAACAAATAATACTGTGAATAGTTGATTAAATACTTAGTCAATAATATATAGAAAAAAGAAATTCATTAATTATAGAATATTTTACAGTGGTTCTGATCGTCCAAACAAGTACTATTTTCAGCGATTTGAAAACTTCTCTGATATTTTTCTTTACCTTCTACATTAGTTTTATTTAGAATGAAGATCGTAGAACGATAGAAAAACATTGCTTTATTTGTTCGATAACTATATTTTTTTCATTTAATAAACAATTCATTGATTACATGTTCAGTAATCATATATAATAAAAATATTCATTTCATCATCTTAGTACTATGCTTTTCATATTGAATACTAGATTAACGAAGACTATTAAAAAGAAAGATTTATGAGATATCAACGATAAATAAAGCTGCTTAGCAAAAGAAGTGTTATAATCCTCTTGAGAAAAGAAAAGAAGTATTTATCATAATCATCTATTGCTGTATTCGAATAAATCATTGCTGTATCTTTACTGATATTATTTATATTATCAAATGCTGATATAACAAGAAAGAGAATTATTTTCATTAACTTTGAATATCTTTCATTCATTGAAAATTATAAAAAGATATATTATGAATAGTTCTTTAATCTTTCCTTTTGTTTCCAATTATTAAAAAAAATCGAATTAATTCAATTGAATATGTTATATTTTAAATTAGTCGAAAGTAGATTATAAAAACAAGTAGAAAATCAAATTATGAACAATAAACAGAGGTGTAATTCGAAAAAATATTAAACAACTTGTATAAAGCATATATAATTAAATATTAATTTTTAACGCTTCTAATTATTGGTAACTTATAAATAAATGTATGTTGTGTCCCATTGTGTACATATATTACCGATGTTAGTCCCGAAAAATCCATTTAACACATACATACATATTTATCTAGAATGAGAAAAATCAGATAAAAATAATTAAGATTTACGAAAAAACTACAAACCTTCTCTCCATAGTTTTTAACCGAGAATGAGTGGAGATACGACAGGAACAGCAACAGGAACTGCAACACCGACAACGCCGATGCCACCGAATCCGTATCCACCGTATCCGAATCCACCGCCATAGAAACCACGGCCTCCATAGCCTCGACCACCGAAGCCTCGACCTCCGCCGTAGCCACCGTAACCTCCTCGACCTCCATAGCCTGTAAAAAAATTATATTAGTTCAATTTTTACAGTTAAAAAACTATAAATAAAAATGTACTCACCATGAGCTTCAGTCATTAATGCGAACATGGCAACAAGAAGAATAGTAGCAAAGAAAATTTTGGCAAACATTTTAATATTGAATCTATTGAAATATTATATATGTAAAATGATATTAAGAAGAAAAACGAGTAAAACTTACTGAATTTAATTTAAAAATGAGAATGGAAGAGAGAAAAGTACCCTGAAATGTGGATTAGTTGTATAGAAGCGATGTAATAAGTAAAACCGATTTCTCGATCTTATATAGGTCATAGATGGATACCCTCGATATACATTTAGAAAATGAAAGAAAGAAAGAAAGAGAGAGAGAAAGTGAGAGATATGATAACACTGATGAACACGAAGTACGTACAAAAGACCTAATACCTCGATAGACATATATTCAGTAGATGAATATAGAAGAAAAAAAGACTTAGATCATATAACATATATAGTTTCAAACGAAATGAACGATAACAATGAAGAAGAAAAAACTGACTCATGTCGAGGGTTTAAGTGCAAAAGTATAACTGAAGGCTATGGCAAACATAGTTCCAGATTGATTATTTATATTATATCTGTTGAATTCAATATTTATTTGTTCTTCATGTAGTTTTAATCTTTTTTTCTCAATAATCTTCTTAGGTATCTATTTAATTAATACAAAATAAATATAATTTAGATACTGAAACAAAGTAAAAGACACCTTATATAACTAAAAATCCATTAATACAACATCATAATAAAATATAAAAAAAACAAGGTGTGTCACTAGAATAGACAATATTGAGCTAGAACCAAATACAATCAATAAATCTATGAATTTTAAAAACGATTCTAAGAAGAAATGAAAAATAAATTGAATATATTATTTAAAATTATTGGAACTATTCCGATTGAGATCATATACGTTCCTAATGAATTCGTCTCATCAAAACTATCTCCTTTAAATTTACTTGAACTAATTTTAATAAGTATTCAATTGATAAAAGACATGTACAGTTTATATGAATTAAATTAATTTCGTTAATATTTTGATTCTTGTAAAATGGTACGATCTTTTAACAGCATTGTTATAGTGTGAATCATTTGTACTGGATATTTTCTTCTTTTATTTTATATATCGTACATATATGTATCTATTTCTTTTTTCAACTTTTAGGTATTTTCCCTCTCGATCACTTCTTCTTCTGCTGTTGTCCAGGTATTATTTGGTTACTTGTATTTTCGGAATTATCGTGGATTTTTTATAGTTTATTCTTATATACAGCGGTTTTGCAAAAATAGTTCTCGATTGGCACACAAACATCATTCAAGACTGTTTTCTATGTTCTTCGAGCGATTGTTCTGGAGTTATTTGCAAATATTAGATACTAGCTGTATGCATATATTGAGACCGGTATTGTTCGAAAATTTTTTTGTAGTTTCATAAAAATGAGTCATATTAAAACGTTATGAATTAATGATTATTACAAAGCCTTCTATTCATACTAGCTAGTATTAAATTTTCGAAATCCAAGAGTGAGACTACTAAAGTGGATTGTCAGCTTCGCATAAGCGAAATCATTATATAACTGCCTGATCATACGAGTCCCAAGCTATTTTAATCATTCCGCCAAGTCATTTAACGAGTGATGATAATGAATTGAAAAGATTCTAACATAAGGAATGAAACAAGATCCATGAGTAACCTGTAAATTGTTTAACTACTTTTAAGAAAGAAGGGTTTTTGTCTCTTATAAACTGTATCATATACCAACATAAAAATGTTTCAATACCTCTCATTTCTATCAAGAAGAACTTTGAGAATTATCTCTGCATACCACTGTGTGTATGTATATCCATAGTCTATCCACATCTGTTGTTATTATTGAATAAAATGAATAGATGATTTTGCTGAAAACTAGTGTTCATAGGTCGTCTAATTCATTTATTGATGAACATTTACTGATTGTTTTTGTTTATGACAGGAAATAGACTAGACTGACGAAAAGTGTATTAAGAAATATACTTCACACGCCTGTATTGCAAGAGAAAGTCATATTTTTTAATTCTATTAGTCTATTTGATTTTCTAGCCATAATGTTATTTTCCTCGCTAATTTTTATGTCTGTTCATATTACAATGAGAAAGTTATTTTTAAAATCCAGAATTCTCTAGAGTAAATATTCAGTATTTTATGAAAATAAATTATTTCATAATATAATATTTATTGTCATGATTATCATCCGTGAAATTATATCTATGTACACAAACTATGTTATTATTATTGTTATCGATATATTTCTTTTTAAAAAGAAAAATTACTATTGATGTTTTCATTTATTTATTATCAAGGAAAAAATTTGTTTTTTTTTCTAATGTATATATATCACGTATTGTTATATTTACTAAATTATTTTTAACTTGACTATTCAAATATCAATATTTCCTGAGTTTTACTAGATCAATAAAAGCTCATTTTAATAATCAATATTTAAATTTCAAAAAAAAAGAAAAATCATACTAAGTCAATTTGATTAACTGAAATCTTTTCTATTAGTATAGATTTAGTTCATATGAATCATTATTTTAAAATGATTACTAATAATAACCATATATATCTACTAAGTACTGTTTATGTGAAGAGAAAAAGTATAAATCAATCATTTTTTAATAATAAAAACTACTGACAACTTTTTCTTTGGTAATATTCTTTAGAATAACATTTGGTTTGTATTAACTTCTTTAGTATCGTATTTCTAAGGGAATAAATATATATTCATTATACGAGAAAATAAAACTATATTTCTCCAATGATTAACACATACATAGTAACAAATTAATTATCTTCGAGACACGCTAATTTTTATGTTAGAAATAAAAATAACTTGTCGATAACAAGGTCATATCCTAGTGGACAAAAATATATAACATATGATAGTAATTAATTTATGATAGTCAATAATATCCATATGATTTGTTATTTTTCACTTATCTTTGCATCAGAGAATATGAAGAAGAAAAAAAAGAATTTTCAAATATATACTCTATAACCTTTCTAAGAGTAATTTATAATTATATATCTAAGTAAAATTTAATTTGATCTATCAAATTCTATGAAATGTTGTTTATTATAGAAAACACTAAATCGTAAACAATAAATATTCGATACTACACAAGCACAATTAGTTTGTTTTCTTTTTCTTTTTTTTTTTCTTTTTTCCCATCGTGTCTACATTTGCATTCCAAATGTTGGTTGTTGATATGGATAACTCATACGAGTAACATTTGCTTGAGGATATCTCATAGAAGTTGGTGTACCGGGTACAGGTTTATTTGCTTGTATATTATATTCATATGTATCGCGTTGATCAACACAAAAACCAGCATAAATACAACCGACAATTGATGTTATTGTACCAACAATTGAACCAAGTGCACCAGCAGCTATTAATAATGAATTAAGAATAAGTTCATTTGATTCCCAACGTTCTCTTGATTTATCGTTATATTGTGCAGTATATTGAACTGGTATAATACATGTTATCATCATATAAAATGAAAGAATAGTTGAAACAACTGCAAGTGCTGTAAAACCAATAATTGATGATCGAGTACCTTCACGTGATGATAAAATTCCAACAAGACCTGCAGCCATTAATACTAAACCAACCCAAAAACCTTTACCTAAATAAAATAAAATAGAATAATTTTATTTTTTGAAAAAAGAATTGTTAATTACCTGATGATGGCCATAGTGGATTTTCAATTTTTAATCCACCTTGTGTTTCATCATAATGATAAACACTTGGTTTTCCAGTAAATAATTCAATAACAGAAAATATTAATGATGCTAAACCAATAAGAAATAATAAAACTCCTAATATGGCAAGAAAACGAAATCGACTACGGCCTGATGTGTCATATGCATTATAATATTTTTTCATTTTTTTTCTTCTAAACAACGATACGTTTCTCGACTTTGTTCAATTTGAATATAATGATGAGAGAAGAACGGGATAGATAACATGATATTGGTGATCAGTGAAGCAAGACACCTAACATCGGTCAACGTTCAATATTTTTAATATGAACCAAAGAAAATAAAGAAGAAGAATAGTTAAAAATTTATTATATTCGAGGAGAGGTCAACCTTTATGTATGTACATATATGCACACATATACAAAAAAAACTCGAAGATGTTAATTTAGTTCATCTCGCTTTTATTGTCTAAATATGTATCTATACTTATAGATACATTTCATTTTCTAATATATATATATATGTGTGTGTGTGTATATTTATTTATCTGCATATACAAATCTGTCCTTGACAGGATTAACAAAAAAAAAGCGCGAAGAAAAATTATATTATTAAGCATACAAATACATAAAAAATAAACAATATATTTGAATATTTGTTATTTATGTCACAACACGTAATGTAGGTTGTGGTCCACTTGTTGCTTGATCAAATTCATCATCAATACTATCGTCAACAAGTGAATAATGTCCTGTCGATGATGAATATGGTACAGTTTGAAATTCTGTTTCTGTTGGTACTGTTATAGATGCTATTGTTGTTTTTCGTTTTCGTCCTGTTATATAACAACATATACATGCACATCGTTCTAATAAAATTTCAAGCCAATATGGTTCAGTACAAGCAATTATAAATAATTGTGTTAAATAAAAACTTGCACGTAATAATGATGCTAATAGAAAGGATTTAAATGTTTCAGCTATATGTTCAAGATAATATAAATATATATCATAAAAAACAAGTATACAAAGTAATGCTGTTACACGTATTGTCCATAATTTTTCAATGGGTGGTATTTGATTTGTACCGCGCATAAGATAAAAATATCGAAGTACAAAACCAATTGCTAATAATGCTGGAATAAACGTAATAAAATAAATTATTGAACGTGTTGTTGCAAGTATATGTAATTTTGAATAATTATATAAACAATATTTAGTTGTATAAGCTGAATAGAGTAATTTTGAATTTCGTTGATAGAATGGTGAAGCCAATGTGTAAAGAAGCATAATAAAAAGCCAAGTAAAAACTGTATAAAAATGAATAAAATACATTGAAGAATATCGTGTACAATAATGTTTTAATGATGGATGTGCATAAAGAAATCGATCAAGAATCATATAAAGTACAAAAAAAAGTGGTACCTAAAAATCGTTCAAATAAAAATACATTTATTTTAATCTTATATTTTGATTACTACTTACTGTTTCATTCGTTGATAATATGACATAATGAAAACGACAGAGACGTAATGTAAATATGTCAAACCAATGATGCAGAAGAAGAATTAAAGCTGGAATCCATGCGATAAATGCACAAAGAATAACTTGACCAGAAAAATAATCAATTATATTTTTATAAGCTCGAGAATAAAACATTCTTAAAACAATTGGAATTGCAAGAAGATATGTTAAAATTGTAAATGTCCATATAACAGCAT